CCGCTTGTTACTTTAAAGTACAATAAATAACTATCTTTAATATTAAGATTTTATTACATTTCCTTCCGACCAAAAAAAAAAATTGCAAAAACATACGTTTTTTTAGTCTGGTACAATGGTGTAACCCCTTAATTACAAGAAAACGGCAAGATAAATCTTCAACTAAAACTAATCAGTATCATTCCCAACTAATATTTTTCGAACAGTTTTCGAGTTTTTAAAATAGATTTGGTAGTATGAACTTAAATGTGGACGAAAAGTTTAACACTTTTCTTTAAATTACAAAGAAGCGTCAAATGGTTTTTAAATTTTTGAAATCGGTCCAGCCGTTTTTGATAAAACGTCGATTAAACAAATCTATTTACACACAAGCACAAACGCACACACACATACTTTTTCAAAATTTGGTCTCATTCGATTCAGAATCGCTTGAAACGTAGAGAAAACATACAATTAGCGAATTGGATTTTTTGATGAAAACAAACTTTTCCTTCGAGGAGTTAAAAATGAGTCACAGTAGGGTAGGGCGGGGCTAGTTGAGCAAATTTTTACTTAAACGGATGTAGCACCTCAATGAAAAGTCTCAATAAATTGCTATATGACTTAATGGATTTGTTGTTTATCGCTTAACAAAAGTGTTAATACTATTTTTTGGTAACAAATAAACTTTAAAAGCTACAGCTGCTTAAATGCAAAAAGTCAAGTATGCTCAATGTACCCCATAGGTGAGGCAAGTTGAGCACTAAGAAAGTATAATAAAATCATAGGTTTAATGTCGATTAGTAATGAAATAAAATAAGTTTTTAATAACCAGTTCTATATTTATAGTCTTTATTGACAGAGAAAACAAAACTTATAGTAATTTGCTTTGAATAATTAACGAAAAGTAGAATCAACAGAACAATATCGTAGCTTAGGAATTATTTTACCATTATATTCAGTATTTTTGTTTAAAATCATTATTTCTTTATATTACTACTCATAGACTTAGCTTAAATCTTAAAAATAATAATCAATTTCTGGAAGTTAATGGTAATTGTCTTAGTGACAGAACAAGTTTAGAAACTATGCTCAACTAACCCCAACTCGGAATTTCAAAATAAAAGTGAGTTTATAAAAAAACCGTGAGAATTATAGCCAGAATCTCTGTGCATATTAAAAGTACTATAATTATATGGAAGAATAAAATTTACCTGGTTAAAAATAAATAACATTTGACTAAACTAGACGAAAACTCGTGATGAATGACTTTTTAACTTTTTGGTCTCAAAATAAACAAAACGCCCGTGAGCCTCACTGATTTGTCCAGCGGCCACTAGCGATCGCGGGATGTTTATTTCTCCCAAATCTCTATCTTTCCGCCATATAATGCCTAAACGGACGGTGGATAGTTTTAGAGATATTTCGATTGCTCAACTTGCCCCTATGCTCAACTAGCCCCGCTCTACCCTAGTCACTGTGTCGTGGATTGCAAAAACACAATTAGGAAAATCGAGTGTAAGTTCTGTAAATTTCTTACAGCCAAATTAAAATTAAATCAACGTAAACAGTGGATACTTGCTGTTAAAAGGCTACAGTATCATAAATTTAATGTTATAAAGAGTAACAATTCGGAGTATTATAAATTGTTGTAATATTGTTATGTTTGGCAGAAGAAAAAATTATTTAAAAATAAATTGTTATATTATCACAATTTAATGATTAAAAAATATTTTTTAAACAGTTTAATTAATACAGGGCTGAAATATTGAAAAATATAAATTTTTATGTCATATATTAATTACATATAATTATTGCATATATATTAATTACAATGATTAAAAGAAAAATTAAATTTTGTTTATTTTGCAAACAGTTTAATTAATACAATGCTGAAATAATAAAAAATGTATATCTGTAGTGTTGATGAATCGCCGTGGGTTGTCAAGCTGTATGATTGTATTTGTAGAGACTTCTTCATTGGATGTAAAAAATCAGGAGAGTTGTTGACACCTAGCTTTCCAACAATATTTCCTTTAATTTATAAGTCTCGGAAAGTTAATGAAGTTTTCTTCCTTTGGTCGTTGTTTCCGGCTGAAATTTTATTTGATGGGTGATGGTGATGGACTCAAATCATGTCTTCATATTAATGTCCAAGTCCTTAGTTTGACCAAATATGATAAAAAAATGAGTGAATTAAATTATTATTTACTTATTTTAAAAATAACAAATAAATATATTTTCATATGCCAGCAATAACAGGGAAATTTGCTGAACATAATCAAATTGAATAATCCTGAACGCTTCAATCTATCCTCCATATCAAATACCTATTACAAAACAAGAAATTTGACCATAAAAAGACCAACTTTTAAACTTGAAACATATTTTAATACCATAGGCGGCAGAGGAGTATGGCTATTTAATCTACTTCCACTATATGTTAGGATATTGAGTGATCGTCAGTTTCACAATATCATCGTTAAACTCTTAAAAGCCCAAAGTTTCTATGATACTTGTGAATTTGCCAATTTTGATATCAAACAATATTCTGATAATAAAGTGCCTACTGATAACATCTGATACTTTTTTCTAACAGTTATTATTGTATCCTTTTTCCATATTTTTAACTTCGCGAAGGAGAAGTTTATGTTTTCATCAAAAAACCCGATTCGCTAATTTTATGTTTTCTCGACGTTTCAAACCTTTCTGAATCGAATGAGACCAAATTTGGAAAAAGTATGTGTGTGTGTGTGTATGTGAACAGATTTTCGTCAAAGTTTGCAAAAATCAGTATGGTCTTTTTGCCATTTGTCAAAATTAGACTTTTGATCAACGTTTTCTCAAAAACGCCTGAACCGATTTTAGAAATTTAAATGCCATTTGATGTATTTCGATGAGGACTATCGTTTGTCAGTTTTGTGCGACGATCTGCCAAGCCGTTTCTTTGCAATTTGAAAAAAAAAAGTGTTGAACTTTTCGTCGACATTTAAGCTCATCCTACCGAACCGATTTTAAAAAATCAAAAACTGTTCGAAAGATATTAGTTGGGAATGGTACTGATAAATTTTAGGTGAAAATCTACCGAGCCGTTTTCTTGTAATTAACTGTTGAAAAAAAGTGTTAAATTTTCGTCGACATTCAAGCTCATCCTACCGAACCGATTTTAAAAAATCAAAAACTGTTCGAAAGATATTAGTTGTGAATGGTACTGATAAATTTTAGGTGAAAATCTACCGAGCCGTTTTCTTGTAATTAACTGTTGAAAAAAAGTGTTAAATTTTCGTCGACATTTAAGCTCATCCTACCGAACCGATTTTAAAAAATCAAAAGCTGTTCGAAAGATATTAGTTGGGAATGGTACTGATAAATTTTAGGTTTTCTTGTAATCAACTGTTGAAAAAAAGTGTTAAATTTTCGTCGACATTTAAGCTCATCCTACCGAACCTTAGGTCAATTCGTAAAATTTAATTTACAATATAAATTTCGTAATAATTATAAAATAAAAAAATATTGTGAAACGCAGATCAAGTTGCTTATTTTAAAGTTTATAGAATAAAAAATTATTGTGAAACACAGATAAAATTGCTTATTGGATTATTATAAAGTCGGATTGAATTAGTAAATTATTTACACATTTCGGGAAGTTCATGCAACTTGCCTTAAGGCTAAATGCACCTTCAACTAGTTTCTAATTTTAATTCCGAATTATTTTAATATTTTTCTATCCTAAATATTTTATCATTACAATTATTTTCATATCATATTCTTTTTTTTATACTGCCCTCAATTACTATTTTCCAGATATTAGACTCAAATGATAATTGCGGTACGGATATTTAAATGATTGTTTTACTATCAGAAGCATCTCAAGAGATACAAGCCTTAAATAAACTAAATAATCTATTCATATCGCAGTATAGCGTACAGGTTACAATTATATCGCATATAAGTTGCACATGTTTATATTCTGTGAGTATTAAAACAATTAAGAGTTTTTAGAATTTAAAGAATATGTTATATGTATATTATTGAAATTTTTTCAGCCAATTCCGCACTTTATATATGCCATCATTCAGCAATTTTTTATTGCTGTATGATGACACACAAAGAAAAGGAAAATAAAACTGTTTGATATCTGTAATGTGCTGTGATGTATGATGTTAGGTTTTTACAGTATAATACTGCTTATATGCTATAAGCTTATAGTATCTATTGAGATGTTGAATGTGATATTTTACTCCAAAATGCATCTAATTCGTACGGAATAGTTATTCTTTTTTCTCATATGATTTAATTTTATGACTAATTCATTTTATATAAGAAGAGTAATTCCGTATTTTCACGTGGACACGTATTCAAATTACCACACATTTTACTTTTTTCCAGCTAACTGAAACAAAATATCTGATATAAAAGTAGCTCAACCGTACGCAGTCTTCCCTACAATTCAGAGGATATCGGAATTATAGTTATATTCATTGAAATAAAATCACGTGTAAATTTATTTGTTTTTGTGAGTACACTGATTATTAAAAGTTTAGTACTTTTTTTTAAAAAAAAACATGTGAATGCATGTAAGGTCTTTTTTATGGTGTCTGCACTTTTTAAAATAGAAACTATTTTTCCATGAAGAGTATGTTATAGTAAAATCCGCTCTAAAACTGTAGAATATTGTTAACGATACGAAAAAGAATGGAATTTAGCAAAATATGAATCCGATTTTACTGGTACTTCTCTCTGCAAAAGTATCATAATTATTTGGTATTTACAGCTTCTAATTGCATGTGGTTAAGTTATTTTGCTGGAACGATATTTATATATATAGTAACAAAACACAATATATACAAACTAAATTGGTATGCAATTGATTATTCAATTATCACAAGAAGTAAATAAAACTATCATTTACTTTTTCAGGTATATTCATACTAAAACCCACATGTTATACTTGGACTTTCATTACTATTTTTCTCGAGAAAAAGATAATATAATAGAAAGAATGGTAAAACCTTGCCCTTCTAAATATTTTCGTGTGTTGGACCAGTAATAGCCATGGGCAAGTCGTTAAATATCACCCTAGTGTAGTTATTAATAAGTGATTTTCTCAATTCCTCCGAGTGATTCCAGTCACGAGTTTCGCAGACCACTTTGACCTAGGAGAGATAAAACTTAATTGTTTAATTAATTTGACTTAAATATACACGATATATATATATATATATATATATATATATATATATATATATTGATTGTTTCTTTTCCGAACAGTAAATCCAATAATGAAAAACAATTTGTTTTTTGAAGAAGTTTAATACGACGTTTCGGAACTAGGTACGTTCCATCATCAGGTTTATTCTGTCAAATACAATGTTTTTTTAAAAACATTGATTAACATTAATTAATGATGGTCATTACAGATTAATTAGAAGAAAAATATAAAGGAATGGATTATGTACCGGTGTAAAGAGTAATAAAAATTATTTACCTGTAATCATTTATTGAAATGATATGAGATGTATGTGGGGTGTTGGTTGGGTCCAAATGTTGCTTGATTCACTCTCCAATGGGGTGCTAGATCCGTCCAACCTTTTCCTGGTGTCGTGGGCAGAGCTTATAGTTATAATATAAAATAACAACACTGGTATGAGTCTCCTCAGAACAGTGAGCACTTTATACTGGTATAGGCTGAAAGGGTCTTTACGCAAAGTCTAATACAAACACTGAATTTAATTTTGACTATAACTTTATTTAATCTTTAATAACTCAAATCACAAACTAGCATAGATTCGTGTTAAGACATACTCTAAGTTACAATACGAAATCTTACTCTATTTATTGCAAAGAGTACGTGAGAATATCCCGGAAGTGGCGCATTCTGGAAAACTTCTCTGCCCTTGCAATGCTCTTGTAGTTTGAATGTATAGCATAGAGCACGTATAATTCATGTTATTACATAACATTATATATCCATATCACTAATATTTTTTTGTTAAAAACACTCGATTTTTTGGAGGATATTTGTAGATGTTACGACTACACAAGACTTAAACAGACTGATATGGAGTTCTGTTGGCCAGATGTAAGGGATAATGTACGGAATTCTAGACAAAAATGATTTTTTATGGCTCTTGTATTGGTAATTTACGAAAAAGAGGAAATATTTCTTTAGTAAATGTTGAGAAATATTATGTATATATATATATATATATATATACATGCACATGTATATGCACACATACATATGCATATATCTATATATTCATGCACCTACTATCATATACACGAACATATACGCAAGTGCATGTATATAGTGTATATACAAAAACAGACATATAAGCACATATATGGATGTGCATATATTACAACACATATACATGTATATATATATATGTATATATATATATATACATACCCAAAAATTATTAAAGGATTAATTGTTTTTAATTAGGTTTGAAAAAATTTAGATACGAGTCATGAATGATATTATGATCTGATCTTTTATTAACACAATTTGACGAATTCAAAAAGATTAAACTACTTTCAGAAAAAAGTCTTTTAAAAGTACAATCCTCTTTATATAAAATATTGGGTTCATAGGTAAAATTATGTTAATTTTCAATGGAATGTTGGACAATAGTGCTTTGGAAACTTCGGCTTTTATGATGAGTAACGCTTAATTCATGTTGTCTCATTCTCTTATGAATGTATTGTGATGTTTGGCCAATGTATTGTTTTTGACAATTTTTGCAAGAGATTGGATAAACTATGTTAGTATTGAATTTAGGAGGGGTGGTGGATTTAATTTTTGGAAACATTTCTTTAAAAGAATATAGAGCTGTTCCTGGATATAGAATATACTAATACATAAGAGAATGAGACAACATGAATTAAGCGTCACTCATCATAAAAGCCGAAGTTTCCAAAGCACTTCTGTGACTTTTTTCTGAAAGTAGTTTAATCTTTTTAATTCGTCAAATTGTGTTAATGAAAGATCAGATCATAATATCATTCATGACCCGTATCTAAATTTTTTAAACCTAATTAAAAACAATTAATCCTTTAATAATTTTTGGGTATGTATATATATATACATGTATATGTGTTGTAATATATGCACATCCATATATGTGCTCATATGTATGTTTTTGTATATACACTATATACATGCACTTGCGTATATGTTCGTGTATATAATTGTAGATACATTAATATATAGATATGTGCATATGTATGTATGAGTATGTAGGTGTGCATATACATGTACATGTATATATGTACATAATATTTCTCAACATTTACTAAAGCAATATTTCCTCTTTTTTCGTAAATTACCAATACAAAAGTCATAAAAAATCATTTTTGCCTAGAATTCCGTATATTATCCCTTACATCTGGCCGACAGAACTCCATATCAGTGTGTTTAAGTCTTGTGTAGTCGTAACATTTACAAAAATCCTCCAAAAAATCGAGTATTTTTACCAAAAAAATATTAGTGATATGGATATATAAATTATTACAGATAAATAATTTTTGCTACTCAATTTTACATAAAACCTTTTTTAGATAATTTTTATTTCTCTTTACACCGGTACATAATCGATTCATTTATAATTTTTTTCTAATTAATCTGTAATGACCATCATTAATTAATGTTAATCAATATTTTTAAAAAAACATTGTATTTGGCAGAATAAACCTGATGATGGAACGTACCTAGTTCCGAAACGTCGTATTAAACTTCTTCAAAAAACAAATTGTTTTTAATTATTGGATTTACTGTTCGGAAAAGAAACAATCAATATATTAAAAAAATCCAGGACTTATCTATATATATATATATATATATATATATATATATATATATATATATATATATATTATACATAAATTCGACGACTTTCTGCAAATAAACATTTCAAGAATATATATATATATATATATATATATATATATATATATATATATATGATTTAGTAGTTAATTTTGATGTTGAAATATATGAGTGAGTTCTTTGTTTGATGTATCGCCCTCAAGAACTCACTCATATATATATTATATATATATATATATATATATATATATATATATTAATTGTTTAATATGAACAAAACAGCACTCAGATTTGTTTAACACAACTTTATTTTATGATTACAGACGTTTCGAGACCATGGTGTGTCTCATCTTCAGTGTAATTTCAAAAACAGTTACTTATATACTACACATTCTTTAATAATTTATTTAAATTTCATTTAATTTTTGGTATACAAAAAACACCAACTATTCCTTGCAATGCTTGACACCGTACTAAAGAAACATATAACACTTACAGAAATATTCTAAACAAATTTGAAGTACTTATATAGATGGAGACAGAGAGGGTATCATTATAATGTAAACAGAAGGAGTGCTATCGCATACAAAATCGATAAAAATGAAAAAACAAATTAATTTATTGAAAAGAATAAGATAAATGAAAAAATTTATAAATTATTAATGATGTTTATATAAGTGTCATGTAAAATATTTGTGTCGGTTCTTAGATTTATGCTATTGTTAGTCCGAACTATTAACATTGATTCTGCCATGCTCCGTTTAAATAAGTCTTTCTCATGGAATAAAATTTGGGGATTGTCAAAATCAAACTTATGGTTGTTGATATTAGCATGATCCACAAGTGTACTTTTAAATTTTTTGTTATCTATTTTTTCACATTGTAATTCATGTTGCCTGAGTCTCTTTTCTAAGTTCTGGCAGGTCTGGCCAATATAAGAGCAATTGCAATCCAAACAATTTACTTTATAAACTATATCTTTCTTTTTTGTTAATGGAGTTTCATCTTTAATTTTGGAATATAAAAATTTTAATTGTTTTAATGGAGAAAAAGTAATACGAATATTGTGTTTTTTGAAAAGTCTTTTTGATAATTGGTTAAAATTATTGTCAAGATATGGAAAATTAATGAAAAAAGTTTTTTCAGGAACACTTGTTTTGCCAGGCTCTTCCGGTTTCTTATCAAAAGGTTCAAGTAATTTTGCGACTCTATTTTTAATAATTGGACAAATTAACTTATATGGAAAATTATTGCCAAGTAGGATCGTTTTAACTAATTTTATGTTTGTATCATAAAACAGGGGATCAGATAATAAAATAGCGTGATCTACAAGATTTAGAATGGTAGAAATTTTTATATTGAGAGGAACATGCGAATTAAAATTAATGTATCTCCCGGACCAACTATCTTTTCTGTACCAGTCTGTATAACATACACCGCCTCTATTAATGAGTTTTACGTCAAGAAAATGTAACGTCGAATCATTTTCAAGTTCCTGAGTGAATTGTAAAAAAGAATTGTACTCATTGAATTTGTTGAAAACATTATCTATATCTTTTTTATTAAGTAATATTAATGTGTCATCGACATATCTGAAATAGACCATAGGTTTGGAAGGTAAAGAATTTAAGACATGATTTTCCAAATCTTGTAATACTAAATCCGCCAAAACAGGACTTAATGGGCTGCCCATTGGACAACCTCTCTTCATCGTATAATATTTTTTATTAAAAGTGAAATATGATGCTTTTAAAAGTAATTCTATTCCTGAAATAAAAATTTCCATCGGTAAACAAGTGAATTCAACTATTTGTATCCATCTTTTCTTTATGGCTGTAATAATTAGATCATGCGGAAGATTATTAAATAAATTAATGACGTCAAGACTCATAAAGGAACAATCAGGAGGAATTACTTTATGTTTTATATGTTCTATTAACTGGAAAGAGTTATTTAAACGGTATGGAGAATCTATGGTGACATTCTTTAAAATATCTGAAAAATATTTTGCTAAAAAATAGTATGGCGAATCAATGTAGGAAACAATTGGTCTAAATGGGCAATTAGGTTTATGGATCTTTGGAAGGCAATAGAATTTTGGGGTTAAAGGATGTTGTACTTTTAACTTTAATGATATGGTATTATTAATATGTCCCTTTTTCTCTAATAAATTTATAAATTTAAAAACCTGTCTATGGTGATAGTTGTTCGGATCCGACGCCAATTCTTCATATAGAGATTCATCACTGAGAATTTTCTTTGCTTCTTTATCATATTCCTCTTTTAACAAAACCACTGAAATGTTTCCTTTATCTGCCTTAC